GTTATACTGTATTATGACAGCACTTTTTTTAAACTAAATTTCAATATCGTGATAATACCGTATACCGTAATAAAAGCATTAGCAATGAATCGCAACAGGAAAATTTGATACCGGCATACACGGACCCCCTCCCTACAATGATAGGATATTGCGTTTTTAAATACGAACGAATAATTGCTTTTTTTTTAATTGGATTTCTTCACATTTCTGTCATTGCTGTGGCGATCACGCTCTAAATGCCTGTGAGAAACTGGTAAATATAGTAAATCACTAACTCCGACAACTTGTATGTATGCTTTTGCTGAGGTACTGGTCTATTGACAGAGGACAGAAGTATCCAACTGTCTGATGGCTGTCCAGATAGATGCAGCACTGAGGAAGAACAATATATATATATATATATATATATATATATATATATATACACACAGTATATATCATGAGATGAATTCACTTTTACCAAAAAGCCAATTATTTAATAATGTACTGTCTTTATAACTTAAGGATATTAAGTGTCACTCAAAAGGGGGTCATCAGCACCAAAAAGCTTTAAAAACCCCTCACTTTTATTGATCTTTCAATTAAGAACTGTTTGTGTAATCAGTATTTAAAGGAATAGTTCACCCAAAATGGAAAATTCTGTAATCATTTACTCTGATGTCATTGCAAACTCAGAAGACTTGTAAAATAGTTTCTACACAATTTTTTGTCTTTTTGAAGCTTGCTAGAAAGTCCTACAGGTTTGAAACCTGTATGAGGGTGAGAAAATACATTTTTGGATTGAGTATTCCTTTGCAATGTGAATTCAACTCATTGTTGTGCATCAAAGAAAGCTCGTTTATTTTCTAAATGTATACATAACAGAATTACACATCTCTTACACAACTCTCCCAAACATTTATAATGAACAATGCCAGGTGATGGCAGAAGACCTCACTCCAGAGAAGATGAGAGAGGAAAACCAAGATGGAGAGAGTTTATCAGGACTTTATATTAAAGAATTTGATGACAGGTGGTGGAACAAACTCTGCACTAAAATGCAGGAGGATACTCCATCTTTATCCATGCACAGATCTCTGGAGGAGACAAACATTTACTTTTACAAATGAATGTGGATCTCTTTTAGGTGCTTTTACTGTCACAGAGCAGAATAAAGTTGAATGTGTTAAAATAAATAAAGTTTCTACATCTACTAATACAATCTACCAACTAAAGCATTAAAATAGCCTGCTCTAGCACCAGTGGGAAGTTGCAGGAACACCTCCGTTGATGTGATTGCCCTGTATTGGGCGCCAAGGTTGGCTCCTCATATTATAATCTTTGAAAAGAGGAGGCTGATAAGCAATGGGGTGATGGATCGTGTTCCTCCGTGGAAGCCATTGAGATCTTTGCTGTCCAGTGGTGACGTTTGGATAGCTGGTTTGTCTGACCAGGGCAGGAGCTGTCGGGAAACTCGGGTTCCTGGGCTTACGAGGTTTCTGTTGTAGGTGGTCGGGAGTGTTTCCAGCAATTCCTGCCGGGCGCATTGGGAGCTGGAGTTTCTCAAAGGGTAGGCAGAGATCAGCGAGATCTGATGTGTGGCAGGTAAATCCTGGGATAGGTTTGGAAATTGCATAGAGTCTGTGAAACTCCAGGTCGAAAGGTTTAACCCCGCTGCCTTTGAAGAGTACACCCAAGCTTCTGTGAACCTGCCAGGACAGCCAGGTGAGACTGCGACAGAGTGAAAGAGTCATCATGGAAAAAGTCACAACAACCAGGTAAAGTTTCTGCATCGCTAGCAGCAACAAATGAAAGAGCAATGTGTTTTAGCGGCCCAGATGGACCAGCTAATGCTGAATAAATTAAACATTTCACCGTTAAAATTGTAAAGAGGTGATACTGAAAAGAAAGAAACGAATGAAAATACTGATTTCTATCAAAACCAGGATTTTAGGTTAAATCTTAAATCTTAAATTTCTCAAAAAATTAATGTCCTCAAAGATGAAGTTTCAGATGGTACCTGTAAGAGCCGACCAGCACTTTAGTGCAGTCCACAATGATGAATTTCTCTTTCATCTGTCCAGTGAACTTTGTGCCCGATTTGGCACAGTATGTTTCACCTTGAACACTACGAATGGACATTCTCTGTATGAAGAGAAAGAGATAAACAAGCACATTGTCAATAAAGAATTCATCCACATTTTTCATTTCGTAATATAATTGAACTAAATAAAAAAGCATGTTACAAATATTGAAATGACATTTATTATATAAACCAACAGTGTCTATTAAATGTAAATCTAAGGTCTGCAATCCCTAAATATATTTTGCCAGCAGCAACACATTTCATGCATTGTAAGTCAGGTCAGTTAAAAGAATAGTATAACTTACAGTAAGATGAGACTCGTTGATTTTTACATTTTCACACATGTCCTGAAACAGCTGTAAATTGGTGTGGTCCAGAAGGAGATAGACGGACACATTGCGCTTTCTTATCGCCTCCAGTATGTCACAGAAAATCTCCACATCGCTGAATGTGTCCATAACTATCGCCAAAACCTTTGATGAGTGCAATTTAGGCAAAAGTTACATTGAAAATTGTTTTAGACCACTGCACATTCAAAAATGTCAGGCACTTTCCATAAATAGAGTACAAAATAGGACCTGACATTTTTTTTTACATTTTTTTTTTTCATTTTCAACAAAGGAGGTGCATAAGCTTTAGAAAATATCAGCTTCAGAATTTCAGGGGCTTAACTGAACAAACAAATAAAAGCTTGAATTTGTTTAATTTTTTTCAACCATGTTCTTAAAACTTTGGACAAATAAATTTTAAAAGTCTTAGTTGTGTTTGAAGAGCAACCAATTTCTACCAATTTCTAAAAACAAAACAGAAATAATTACTTTTTTAAAAAAATTATAATTGAACTGAACTGAGCTGGATAATGACACTATTGCACTCAGCATTGTAAAAAAACAAACAAAAAAAAGATTTACTTGGAAAATTTTCACAAATATCACAAATAATTACAAAGCAACATAGTGTAACACATTGAACACGTTATATGTGAAATTTGACTTAATAAAAATAAATTATTATGCCAGAAAATAGTGGGGGCGTGTTTGAATGAGGCATTTTAGCCCCGGTCTGGATCAGCCTTCTCTTTTAAATAGAATAAATCCTTTTGTGGGAGACTTTCAGCTTTGTAACTCTGCAGATCTTATACATGCACAAATAGCTACATAACACACTAAAGAAAAGGAAAAATTGAAATCTCATCATATGACCCCTTTAAAAAAAAAAGCTGTACACCTAAGTGTACCGTATTCATGGAAAGTGCTGTTTGTAATTGCAGCATGCATCTTCCTTTCATCACAAAAGTGATATTCAAAAAAATAATGGCAGTACACTATCCAAAAATGTTACTAACAAATGATAGGTTCTTACTTTAGTTGCTTGCCTGATGAGTTCCCGCAGCAGGTCTTTCATGGAAAATGATTTCATTGAGTGGAAGAACACTTCCACACTGGGAATCCCTTGCAGATGGTAACTCCAGTCAGCCACCGGCCAGCCGTAGTCAAGAACTGGAGGCTCACTCTCTGTGACCGCAGGAAAGTATGTCTCAGAAGAAGCTGATGGAGAACCGGACATCTCTTCATCCCTGTCTGTCTCTTCATTGTCAGTGAGAGGCTTTTTAATGTTGTTTAAGATGTATGTTTTCTCCTCCGCTGACAGAAAGTTTGCTTCATTCTCTTTGTTCAGCACTTCCTGGTATCCATCATTCCCTCTATCCAAGAGAGCATCCATAGCCAGTCGTGTGCTCTCGTTGTAACTCAGATCTACTGAAGACACCATAGTGTTTGTGTTTCTCATCTCCTGAACTCTTTTTCTCATTTTTCCTATCAGCTTTGGCATCAAGTAACACTGCACCGACAATCCATTACTTACAAGGTTCATGTTGTTTGCATACAAGTCCTCAGCTGACAGATGACTGGTTGACACTTGCTCATTCAGTTTTCATATTTAGTCGTCTTTCACGCTTAAGGCCAAATGATTATCCATACAAACATGGTGTAGTGCTACACTTAACGTCCCCAAGGTGATCATCATCAAATGCTCACAAATAATGCTGCGAGATATTCATGCACCATGCATCTTTTCATCAGCAGTGCAAGCGTTTCATGGCACACCGAACATTTCTGAACCAATTTGTCAAGTTTTCATGATGAGTGAGTTGAAAATTGAATGTTAGTGCTACCCTATGGCTCTGGGGAAAGTAGTTTGTGACTCCTCCTCGCACTAAGAGAAGTAACTAGCGTTCACAGACGGCTTCACCCCCAGGCATCGGTGGGTGGGGTCCTGTGGTTAGCAGGTGAGGTGTTGAGTGAATAATGAGACTGAAGCTCCCACATTTTCCATCACAGAAATTAAATGGCGTGAGTGGCAGGGATGAAGATGTGGACGTCAGATTAATTTCACTCATGCATCACTAGACCTGTTCCTGTGTCCTGACACACCTGCTTAATGTAAGCTCTTAATGGCTTTGTAGAGTACATGTAGTATTGAAAGTTTTTGTTATTTGGTAATTTAATAAGTCATAATAAACCTAAGTATACATTTTCCCACACCATTTGTGCTACATACATAATTGATACACCAAACCATGCAGCTTATTGAAGAAAGAGGCATTATTATTTTTCTAAGTGACCAGATATGCGGTTGAAATGAAATATAAAACAGACTAAACAGACCCGAATATCATAGAGACTTTTGATTTTGGCCAATAAACAACCACCCAGACCACCCTAGCAACCACAAACAGTAGCAACTCATGCTACTAAAACACTCTGAAAACCTCCTTGACTGCACAACAACACCCTAGCAACCACCCATAACACCCTAACATTGTGGTGGCAGGTTTTGCATGGGCAAACACCACTTATTGCATCAGAAAATGTAAATGTCAAGTTGAAATTATTGGCTTATGCAACACATGAAAATATGGATATTGTCAACCAGTATCATAAACAGAAAATACGAAATACCATACACTATCATAGCTTGCAATGAGTTACAATATTTAGACTTTCACCTAATTGCATTAAAGGGGTCATATGATGCGATTTCTATTTTTCCTTTTCTTTAGTGTGTTATGTAGCTATTTGTGCATGTATAAGATCTGCAGAGTTACAAAGCTCAAAGTCTCCCACAAAAGGATTAATTCTATCTAAAAGGGAAGGCTGGTCCAGACCGGGCTAAAAGGCCTCATTCAAACATGCCCCCACATCTCTACGTCACGATGTGGAAATATTTGCGTAATGCCGCCCAAATGTTCATGCAAATAAAGAAGGTGTGGTTTCAGGAACAGCAGTAGTGTTGATGCAGCCATGTCAGGGAGATGCTGTGTGTTTCTGTGCAAAAGCAAAAGCACTTTATTTGGCCTTCCAAAAGTAGATGCAAAGAGGAATGTAGAGTATCCTGTCGTGTGTGTGTGTGTGTGTGTGTGTGTGAGAGAGAGAGAGAGACAGGGTCACATCACAGTGGAGTCAGCTTTCTTAATCGCGGCTTGTGTACTGCAAATACATACGAGCATCATCACTGTGTTTGTTCCCCTTTCGGGCTTGAACTGATGGTAAAACTAAGCACATTATTGTACTGTCTTTACATTTATGATGAAAGCTGAAGCTCGCGATTATGGAAAGGGGCGTTACATTTCCGACTCGTGCTTGTGGTGTTCGGCCAATGCACTGGGCCAATCAGAGCAGACTGTGCTTGTCGGAAGGAGGGGCTTTGTAGAAAACTACTCGTTTGAGAGAGGCAGGGCATAGAGGACCTACAATAATGTACAGTATTTGAAAAATAATGTGTTTTTTTAACATTAAAGCATCTCAACATATTCTGTTACACCAAATACATCAAAATAATGATCTAGCATCATATGACCCCTTTAAATGTTGCATGTTTTGCAAATATGGTAGCATGCAGGATTTTGTTCAAAATAAAAAAAGTTAAATGAGTAAATGTAATTAAATTACGTCTCTAAATAAAAGGATTCAGGAAGATATGGTTAGACTGAAAATTAAAAAAGTGAACTCTAAAATCACTCTAATACATCCAGAAACATCTTTAGTCACTCACTAATACATTG